AGTTTAACCCAGGTAAAGATAATACATTTTCAAACGAATGCTTATATTGGCTTCCGAAATGCTACTCTCTGCATTCTTTCCATAAGAATTGTGTGGAAGTGGCGGCTGCTTATGCGTAAAAATTTTATACTAATAAGTTGTGAGGAAATGGTGGTTAATAAGTATATCGATAAGAATAGGTGTAAAATATTTGTAGGTAATTAGCAATAAATGATGATAATTAATTGAACCAAAAAAACTGGGTATATCGGCCCAAGAGAACTGAACGCATTTTTACCTTCCGATAGTACTTAGATACTATCCCTGACTCCCAACTTACGTGTAGGTGCAACGTAGAGGAAAGAGCAAAGAAGGGCCCATCAGACCAACTATTGGCACGCAGCTGTCTTGAAGGTAATTAATAGTGGACGGCGTAATGGAAATTTGGCCGACTTAGATGTCGAAACTGATTACCTCACGTCATCCTGGGATTTTAGTTTTAAGATTCCCATACGCTTTCCAACTCGGAAAGGTGGCCTCCAGTCGGTAAAAGTTGGTGTTTTCATTTACCCCGATGGCTCAAAGATGGAAAAGGAGTTGGCTCGGATCTGTACTCCAAGTCTACGAATTTTGCACTTCTAACTTTATTATCTTAAGAAATAAAATTAATTAAAAGGGCATTTTATGTACCTATTCATCTTTGTGAAGCAAAAACCTTTGAATTTTTTTAAATTGCACAGAATTTTCTCTTTCATTTGGTACCCATATTATTATTCTAAATTGCAGTGAACGTTTTAAATAATTTCTGTGTGTACTAGTGTCAACCTGAGATAAATACTTCTTCTCTTCATATAACCGATCGCAATCGCTTTCTGGCTCTTTATTTATCTATTACTACAGCTGCCTAATTTACATTAGCGCTTCACACTTCGCTTCTCTTTATAATCTATTTGGCACTAGATTCCTTTCCGGTCCGTTTGTGTACCGATGTACATGTCTGATATCAAATGAAGTACATCCGTTCGACCAGACTTTGCTATAAGCGATTTTCATTTGATATTGCCTGATAAATGAGATGTTCTTCGTCATGGAGCCAGAAAGCCCTCATCTTTCTAAGCCTGACAGCTGATTCAGGGCTCATGTAAAACAAGGGTTAAAAGCAAAATGGGTAAAAGATTTTCATGACATAATTTTGCGACCACGTCAAATAGAGAAAATCATACCAAGAGGAAAAGGTATGTCTCTAGATATACATAAATCCATCGGCAGTGTTATTGTTCGTTGCAGAGCTGAGTCACTTGTTCCTTACCTCGGGTGGGGGGTAACAAGTAATTCTGAGCAATGCTTGAACTACAAATTCTCTTATTCTAAAATTCTCTACCCCTTTCCACTGGTGGGGGGAAGTAGAGTCTAATCAAATAAGAGGTTAGTACTTTCAATATTAAAAGTTTTACCCCTTACCGCTGATGGGGGAAGTAAAACCTTAATAAAGAAAGAAGAATAAAAGTTATTAAATGCTTTACCCCTTACCGCTGGTGGGGGGAAGTAAAGCATACAAAATAAATTATAGAAGAAGATGAAGAGTGTTATTGAGAGTCTTTACGATTCTGATCTGTTTATTAAATATTTTCCTTTTATATACAAATTCTAATTCTATTTTCCTTAACTAATTGTAAATACATATGTATGTGTGTGTGTGTGTGTATGTACATGTTGTTTTGGTATGTACTATTTACACACAACCGCTTTGGTCTTATCATAATTTTAATTATAATGCTTGCATTTGCGGCGGCTATATGTAGACATGCATATAATATCAATTCATTTTCTAATGCATGTACATATGTATGGGTGTATGCATTTGTATGCGCGAACATTAGATTAAAAGAGATCAACGCATTGATATCTTATTTCGGTTGTATACAAAATATTGACAGTTAAATGTGTTACAATTAATGGGTTTTTGTTGATTTCTCATGTTTATGTATTTTACTTTTCTTCTATTCGAAAGTGGACTGTATTTTCTGTGTGTCAATAAGTATTATTGTAAGTATATGTTTTTTATGTTCAGTTTTATTACCCTGGCAGATGTATGTATGTATGCATACATGTTCAAAGATGTTTGAACAGTTATCAAAAGCTTACTCGATATTTTTAAGTTTTCTGGATTTGACATTTTATTACACATTTAGTTAATTAATTTATTTTTATATCAAAATGATTAAACAAGGCACTTCACCTATACCGGCCAACTTTATTATTCTGTTTATTTCTATTTATAATGAAATAATGTTACTGCTGTAAGGATTCTCAAAGTACATATATGTATATATACCAAATAAATACACCTATGCAACATCTGCTAAAAGTTGTCAAATTACTGATTGATTTATTCGTCAAAGCGTGCCCTAATCTACCTTCTACCTACAGCAGTAGCAACTACAACTCCTACGCATGCAAATGTGCATACCTCTTACTCCCACTATATACGTCCTCCTACTCATTTACAATTTAATAGCAACCATAAGTAACATATCTGCATGTCATAAGATCTCTAATACATTTGTGGCCAAATAAAATCATTATTCCATTACAGCTAATGACAACGCTAAATATTCAATGATGCATCAGGTTATAGCAGAGCAAGCAATTTTGCCAACCGAACGAATGCTTACCGCCAGCCATAACCAACTTTTTTCTTATCCTACTGCGCTTTGCTTGCCAACTGTAATTTTTATTGGCTGATATATATTGTATCAGAGGCAGTTCTTGTGCATGGGCATATATGTAATATTTCTATATTGGCAGTAAGCTAACTTCTCAATGTGTAAGCATTCCGAAATCAAAGCGAGACAGTCTAGTACCGTTTTTGTCAATGTATTGTGTACTTGAGTGCCGTTTTTGTATATGTGTTGTGTACATGTTTATTTATAAACGTATGTGTTCCTTTTCTTTCGTACGTGTTTATTGATATATCTGTACTGTAGTGTTTTCGGACGGTACTAGCTCTTACTGCCAATATAGGAGTATTACATATATGTGCATGGGCATTTTTTATCTTGATAAAAGGATTTTTAAGATGACTATTTTTGCAGGATTTAATCACTTAAAAAATTTAGAAAATTTACGTACATAATAAAAAATATTTTAATAGAAAACAGCTCAATTTTCGCTTTTATATTAAAATATCAATAATGTTGCCGCCACGAAGTTATCGTGCAAGTGAAAATGTAGCTGTCAAAGTACCAAATTGCTGGCAATATTTATCAAGATAAAAACGCTCTGATAATTATTGCTTGCCAAGAGCAATATGCGGTCTCTATTGGCAAGATAAAAACTTTTACCTGTGGAGACACCAAGTTACAGCTCACAGGCAACAATTTCAAATATGTTTACATATACATGCACTCATATGCACATACATATATGCAGGTAACATAACATATGAAGCTGCTTGTGAGCTGTTAATATTTTAAACCTTTATCGCTGTACAGCTTCGATGCTGCTTCCCCCAGAGCAGCAATAAATCAAAGCATTCAATACGACTGCAAGTCAAAAAAAAAACATTTACTTGCACATGCATAGGTACATATATATGTAAATATGTACATATGTATGTTTTATCAAGGTAACTTTCGTAGCCTTCCCTAAATTCAAATTGTGGTCGCTATTTTCCGCAAATGTGAGTTCTGCAAACCTACTTGTACTGGGAAGGTGACGGTAAGTGTGTGAGCGGCTATTCGGCTGGTATCATTAGTGAGATTGATGAGCTCATGTTGCCTTGTAACTAGCTGCGCAATGCATAGCCAAGGGATGTATTTGTGGTAAGAGAATGACAGCAGAACAGGAAATGTTTCACTTAAATTGAGACAAAGTTCCCCATTGGGAATGTACGTAGGAGCACGGGAAGTACACTAAGAAAATTTGTGAACAGAAGAAGGAATTTTCAAACAAAGTTCTTATCCATACATATAATGAAATTGTAACAGGCCGATGTCTGTGCATTATAGATATTAAAGAAAAATTGATATAAGGGTCTTTATTAGAACGACAGAAGCCAAATCAACAGTTTTTTTTTTTTAATTTTTGTCTGCCTGTATGTTGGTACACGCATCACTCGAAAACTACTAGCTGGAATTGATTGCAGTTTTCACCGATGTATTTCTAGAGGTCTAAGTTAGAATATAGAGAATAAATAAATTGGACCATTGTCACCTGTTTGAGAATTACAGTTTAAGTAAATTGATACGATAAAGTAAATATTGCAATATGGCTGCCAAAAGAAAGAGGTTTAAAAAGGCTTACATCCGAAAATATTTTTGTTGAAGGTTGCTACCTGTTTGAAAAATTATTAAATTATTAATTAAATCGATAAAATGAATGGCATAGGTATTACGAAACGGGTATCAAAGAGCAAAAAAATAGTGTAAGTCACTGTAAACAATTTGATTTAAGCAAAACATTTGCAAACATGTTTACATATTATCGCTGTGACTAAGTGTGCAGATGTGCTTGCTAATATTTTTTAGGTTCCAAAGGATCCTAGATTCAATTGCCGACGAGGGCAATAAAAACATTCGTTTTATTTTTCCGAACTATGAAAAAGCAAAAAAAGAAAAAAAACCGACCCCGCACCACCAAACAGCTAAATTTTATGTAGTGCTATTTCTTCCCGTTCATGTAATATACGGTCTAAATATGAACCATATCAGACCATAAACACGGGGTTTCCAAATATCTCGACTCCTGCGCCACCTAGAGGATTAATTCACCTTGCACTGACATCGGGTTCGGAGCTAAATAAGTTTGAAGTGTTCAAGTCTTTGGCTAATCGGGGAGTTGGTTCAAAATTGATTACAAGAATTGATTACACACAAGCGAAACGTAATAAAAGCTTGTAACAACACGATATGATTAATTTTTTTTTCTCAGTGTAGTAGTACGAAACTGTATACTACCACACACAAACCCAATCACACTTCCTTTCAAATAGTTTTAATTTAATTTATTTATCTTTGCAGATTAAATGTTTGTTTTGCAACTTTTTGATTGATATTCTTGCACAATAAGAGATTGGGGATGAAAAACCTAAATAAAAAGGATTTAATATCTAAATATGCAGGTAAGTGCAGCATATGCTACGTACATATGTACAAAACGAAAAGTACAAAAAATACAATTTTATTAAACCATTTGAGAATAAAACGTGGTACAAATAATGTCTCTAAAAAACATTTGATATTTTATACATATTAGGAAATGAGCCTGGGAAAAAATAAATCTGCCAAGTTGTAATGCTTGAATTAAAGCTTTAAAAGTTCAGCTAATAACATTTCTCTTCACTTCCTTTTCAAAATTTCGCATTAAACGGTACTAGAAAAACAAGACTAATTGAATTTGCGGTGCAACACTTTTCAAATTGATTGCCAATAAAAACGAAAACCAAAACGAAAAACTGCAAAATAAGTAACACAAATCAAAAGTCACGCAAAGGTAAATGCAGGAGTGCCACCTACATATAAACACCAATAAGCAAATAACAAAAAAGAAATGATAAAACACGAAGAAAATCGTGAAAATAAAAGGTTTCCAGAAACAATGCAGCAGTGAAAATTGCTACAAACAATGTCATTGTTACAGCGCAAATTGTTAAATGAAAGACAGCTTGTTGCTGCCAATGTTAACGCTAGTTTCTGCTTTACACATAGAAATGGTTATAAATATATATATGTACTCATATGTACATATGTACATATGTGTGTGTGTTCTTGGCTCTAAAACAATGGCGAGCGAATAGCAATTTACAAGAATAAAACAGCACATACATACATACATATGTTTGTATGCATTTTTGTGTTCCTGTGCTATAAGAAATTCAATGGCGATTGCATTGTCGAAATCTACTACTGTTTCCACGAATATTCGACTCAGCTGACACCAATTTAGTTCATTTATTGCATTACTAAAATTTTCAATTCGATTTTGTTGCTACCATGTTTTTATCATGGTTGCTACTATTTATTGCCACAAATTCGCTTTTGTTGCATTTGAAAATAGAAATAAATCGAAATTAGTTTGGAAAATTGTACGCTTGCAAAGGGAGACCTGCTTTATTGTCTTATTTTTCTATGTAAAATGCTGTAATTTATTTTTATACGTTCGCACTCGAATAATAAATTTACCAATTGGCTACTCTTGCACAGACTAAAAGCCATCCCCAATTAATTAGAGTTTGCGGAAGTTTTTACTCAAAAATACTAAATTAATTTTAAATTTTGTTTGGTGTTAAACATCTTCGATTTCGGTGGCGTAAAATTTTAACAGCATTAGGTGTGAACGCATGCATTAAATGAGGAAGTTTATCCGTAAAGTATAGGTCAACGCCTGCTTATCTCTATATTTTTTTCAGGAGGATTTTAAATGACAACTAATAAATGTTTAATCGTAGCCTATGGATATGCTAATATGTATGAGTATCTTTTCGAACACTAAATTAATAATAATATCGATATATGTGAAAATTTATAAAAATGTCGTTAAATTTATCGATAACAATATCGATAGTTATAAAGTATCGGTATGCATCATTATTTACATCAGTAAAAAAGTTTCAAAACGTGTACGTATGTACAAATATGAAAAGTAAATTATTTAAAATGTCGATAAGACATTTCCTTACAATGCGACTAGACATTTCCTTACAACTAACCTCCCTGGATTAACCCTTTCGGTACATCTTTTTAGATTCAGGCTTTAAAAATCCAGTTTTTTTATTAAATGATCCTTAATATATTATATAATAACATTCAATTTAATTTTTTCCCAAAATGCGATTCTAAAGTGTTTTTGGAATGATGGCATATGGCATCATTTGTCCTAACTGGTGTAAAAAATATGCAAAGATTTTTTAATATGGTATATTATTTTATTCAAATCAAATTAAATAACACCACAAAAATTTTATAAAATAAGTTGGAACATGCATAGATTTAATAATTGATGCCATATGGCATCATACACGTTTAAAAATATACCACGCGATTATTAGCACTTTTTATACCGAGCGCACTTGTGCACAAGGGTATATTAATTTTGTTCACATAACGGTTGTTTGTAACAGCCAAAACGAATCGAGATAGATATAGACAAATGTATACATAAATGATCAG